TGCATTCAACAGCTTTGTCTTCTGTTGCAACAGCACTTCATCACAGTTGACAGGGCTAGCTCAGATTACAAATGAGCTTCTGAGTGGATGAACGTTTGTAAACCTGCTCTACTCTTGTCTAGGATGTGGAGGTACCTTTGCATCTGCTGCGCTACGTCTGCCTGTTCTGTGGGAAACACGGCCTCTCCCTGATGAAGGAGTGCTTCGAGTTTGGCACTCCAGAGAGCCTCCCCTTCCCTATCGCCCACGCCTTCATCACCATAGTTTCTAATGTGAGTGCTATCAATCTAAACCGCTGCTGTTATTTCAAAAACCACAGTTTAGAAGAACCAGTTCTCATACGAATTAGTATGTTAAAAACAACTTGGATAATAGTGGTAACAGCAGTAAATTGTGATCGGTTTAAATTTGATAATTGCTAAATTTAAGATGAAATTGTTAATCTGTTTGGAGTTTTTTTTTGGAGGCAAATACTGAAGATATTTTGGCTAGCTGCCTTTTTTTTTCTTTATAATGTCCCTGTAATAAATATAATGCACAACTTTGAACATGAACTTCTGTTTAAGATGCAAGACAGATTCTCAGCTGAAAATTATTCACATATTGTATTTGATCTTGCCCACAGATCCGAATATGGTTGCACATTCCTGCCGTCATGCAACACATCATACCGTTCCGGACCTATGTGATACGGTGAGTTTACACACAATTCTTGGCTTTAAACATGTAACAACATAGAGTATCTTCCTCAGCCAGAGACAGGTGATTCTCACCAGTTGCACTTGCTTTCAGGCGCAGGTTAAAAGACCTGTAAGTGCCTCAGGAGCTGCCATGTTGTTGAACACCACACTTTCTGAACCTGAAGACAGTCACTAACACTCTTACTGCAGTATTCTTGTGTATTGTCAGATTTTTAATCTTGTCTGCAAAGCTCTGAAGATTAGATTCAGTGTCCAGCTTTGTTTCCCAGCTGAAGAAGTCAAGATTTGCTATTATTTATATCGAGGGAGCCAGACGTTGTTGATTCTGCATTAGAGCTCGCCATTTGTCTCAGTCAGGCAGCGCAGCCTCTTCTCTTCTTGTTAAAGTGCCATACATTTGTTGCTAGGAAGAGCCTTTGTTGCCATAGCAACAGTTGCCAGACTTCCAGTCAGTGTCTCTTCACGTGACCCAAGAGGAGGCAGAGTGTTGGCAGTGCATGTGATGTAGGCAGACTGATGCTCTGCTACCGTATTGCCTCTTTTGTCTGAGTAGCTTGGTAACTAAATAAACTACTGTATTTAAAAATAAATAAATAAATAAAATACGACTTTACCTAGTTAACTCTTTGGTAACATTTTCTGTACCAAAGAGTGAAAAATTGGAGCCAGCTTTAACAAGTCAATATTTTTCCTAATACTATAGTATACAAATAAAAATCTGCAAATGTAATAATGTTGCATTCAGTGTACTTCAGTTAGGATTTTGCTAATTAAACACATGTTAAACTTCCATAGTGAACACGGTATTTGATATTTACTAGATTATCAGTGTGTTAGTATTGTTATTGTGAGTAGGTTGGCATGCTAATGTTCGTAAAGATGCTTGAATATTTTAAGCTCTGCCTTGCAGACTGTGCTGTATACCTCTATAAAAATGATTGATTAGCACAACCATAAGGAGCACATCCAAACAGTAGGGAAGTGGTTTCACATGATAACAATTAAAAGATAAAAAGGTACATTAACAAAAACCCAAATTAGGACATTTTTCACATCATGGTAACTTTCCATTCCATTTAAAGATTTATTTTTATTTAAATAACACAAAGTACTTAGCAACTCTCTCCAAGCTACACCTCTAAAAACCACAAACGCAGCCATCCCAGAGTGGAGAGTAAATGAGTCAGCAGCACAGTTGTTTATTGGAAAATTATAGCGTACGCCTACAAAAGTCTGAGAGTTCTTCTTCAAAATGAAACTTGGATGTTTTAGAGGAGGATTTATGAAACTGTTTTTTTTCTAGCTTTGGGATGCTGACAAGTTTGTTTTTAATAGTACCCTAAAGGTACTTTGTTTTTCCTCTCAGAAGTAATGATTGGTGAATTTCAAAGATGTGACGAGAGGGGGCAGTTTGTACAGTGTAGTTACTACTTATAGGAGGGGGAGTGGTCACAAATACTGTGGGTTTTTTAAATAATACATAAATAGTGCTGACAATACTGTACAACCCTTGGGGAGAGTATTAAACATAAAAGTTTTTGTCAGTAGCTTATCTGTCAGTCGGATGCGTCTGCAGGTATCTGTGTAAGCTGTCGGACCAGGAGCTGCGACAGAGCGCAGCACGCAATATGGCAGACCTGATGTGGAGCACGGTGAAGGAACCACTGGACAGTGCACTGTGCTTTGATAAGGAGAGCCTGGATCTTGCCTTCAAATATTTCATGTCACCCACTCTCACGATGAGATTGGCCGGACTTAGCCAAATCACAGTGAGTCGGACAAACAGATTTAACTCATTCTCACACCCTCATGTACGTCTGGCTGATTCTAGTTTTCTGTGGACATTTTTTTCAAAATGAGACTTTCCACAAAAATATTTAAGCAATTGGAGATGTCTGTATTATTTGGTGGGAAATAGAGGGATGAATTGTGTTGTATCTGTAAATTTCCTCTTTTGGTGAACGAACATAAGTAAATGCAGTCCAGTTTTTAAAAAAACAAAAACTGTTTAAGTGCTAAAATTGAGAATACTTTCACTAAGTATACGCCTAATTGAGGGAAATAACATCAAAAACAAACATCTATTATCTATGCTGTCCACTAGATGGTTAAATAACAGTTATGAGCCAGTGGTGCTGCAGTTATTAATTTGACAGGTTGTGCTTCATTCCTTCACTTATTGCGGGGCATGTTTGTGTTTCTTCAGAATCAGCTGCACACCTTCAACGATGTGTGTAACAACGAATCTCTGGTGTCTGACACAGAAACGTAAGTTAATGTAAAGAAAAAAGATGCCTGTCCACAAATGCAAGCAAACAGGAAGGATGTGGTGCTATTTTAAACCAGTTTGGGCGAAAAATAAATAAATAAACAAATAAATAAAATAAAATGGTTCACACAGCGTATTCTGATTCTGCTTTTTTCTTTCAGGTCCATAGCGAAGGAACTAGCCGACTGGCTGATCCACAACAATGTAGTGGAGCACATATTTGGCCCAAATTTGCACATTGAGGTGAGACTTTTGGATCCAGTAATGAAAAAATGAAAAAACTATTCTGGAGAACGTTTCCCCCAGTTTTGCACATTTACATTTGTGTATGTGTGTTTTGTAGATCATTAAACAGTGCCAAGTGATCCTGAATTTCTTGGCTGCAGAGGGCCGGCTCAGCACACAGCACATAGACTGTATCTGGGCTGCAGCTCAGGTAAATGAGAGACACGGTACAGCTTTATTCCACTCCATCATGGGGCAGCCTGCAGAGTCAAACATGAGTCATACCGAGTGACCGGTGCTGGTATTTCTGTATTGGTGGATTTTTCTGTGTCAGAAGCACTGGGAACAAAACCTTTAAAAACTAGGGGTGTATATGCCACTAAATGGTTTATGCATTTAACAGGGACACTGCTGTGAATGTCAGAATTGGCAAAGAAGCCATTTTTCATCTGCAGATGAAGTGGGAACTTGATCAGATTTTTATTTTTTCTTTCATTAACTTTAAATGGTTCAAATTCTTCTATGATTTAATGCAATATTATATTTAGCCTGTATTATATATAATAACTGTACTGTGATGAAATCATGGAAACACTTCAGGTGAATAAGGCTACGTCCACACGTACCCGGGTATTTTTGAAAACGCAGATTTTTCTATGCGTTTGCACCTTTCGTCCACACGTAAACGGCGTTTTCGGTCACTGAAAAC